CCTCGTTGGCCGAGGTTATGGAGGTCGCGCATGATACCGTGTTTCCACGTTGTATCATATGCTTTCTCCAGATCAAAAAATATTGCAACTAAATGTTGCTTCTGGATGTAAGCGTCCCTGACAAACGTTTCAAGTCTAACGAGATGATCAAGAGTGCTCCTTTGGGACCGAAATCCACATTGGAGGTCTGTAATGAGGTTGTTGGACTCAAGGTACCAAACAAGCCTTCGATTGATCAATCTCTCCATGGTTTTGCAAATACAGCTAGTTAAAGCGATCGGACGATAATTGGTAGGATTCGTATGATCTTTACCGGGTTTAGGGATGGGAATTATTGTGGCTTCATGCCACGAAGGGGGGAATTTCCCATCAACCCAAATCCGGTTAAAAAGATCCAGTAAAATTAAGAGAGTGGAAAAAGGTAAATGTTTAAGAATTTGGTAGTGTATTTCATCTGACCCAGTTGCAGTATCTCGAGCTCGCTTTAGCGAATCCCGAAGCTCTGCAATGGAAAAGGTATCATTATAGCATTCATCATTGCGGGACTTGAAATTAAGTCGCCTTTTCTCCTGTTGTTGTCTAATGCCTCGAAAGGCATCGGGGGAGAAATTGGATGATGAATTAGATGAAAAAGTACTGGCCAGAGAATTAGCAATATCAGGAAATGTTGTTAAGGTGGTATTATCAACATTTAAATGATTAACTGATAATGCACTACTTTTACCTTTAATCCTACGAATCCTATCCCATACCGACTTAGATGTGGTACGGGAATTAATCCTTGAGACGTAACCTTGCCATGAAGATTTCTTTGCTTGACGTATGGTTCTACGAGCCTTCGCCCGGACCATCTGGTATGCCGCAATATTCTCCATGGAAGGATGGTTCTTTAATCGCCTCAGGATGCGATCACGCTCTTTAAGAGCGGATTTGCAGTCATCGTTGTACCATGGTTTATTGAAACGTTTTGGTGTAGTCGTGGTTTTTGGAATCGCCTGCTCAGCCACATCTTGAAGAATTGAAGTGAATAAGGCCATGGGCTCATCTGCATCTTCTAACTCCTTTGTATCAAAAGAGAAGAGACACAAAGATTCGAAAAGAGCCCAATCGGCCTTATGCAACTTCCACCTCTGAGGTGACCACAACGAGCGCAGGTGTCTTTGCCCCTGCAGACGGTCTTGCTGTGTCCAAATTTCTGACATTTATAGCAGCGAAGAGGGTTGGAAATATAAGAATCAACAGGTATATTTAAATAACCTGCCTTGATTGACTTCGGTATGTCGGGACGATTAAAAGTGAGGATATAGGTGCTTGTAGGAATCACCTTATCTCCTCGGCGTACACTAATTCTTTTAACTTGTTGGACGCCTTGAGAAGAAAGGTATTCTACCAGTTCATCCTCACTGCTGCCTTCAAGATCCCGACAGCGAATAACGCCTCTACTAAAATTTAATGATCTATGTGGAGACACCTTGATAGGAATGTCTGCCAATGTTGTTGACTTAAGAAGCATGGTAGCATGCTGCTCCTTAGCACATTTTATCAAGAGTGTTCCATTTTTTAATAGCCTTGGGCTCACCGGCCAAGCCGGCAATGCCCTTAGCTATCAAAAATGGTGAGACTTTGGATAAGTCAGTAGAGGGGCTCTCAATCAAGAGAAACCTCGGCCACGACTTTGCCATTTTTGTTTTAAATATGTTAGAAACGTCCTCTGAACAAGAACACTGAGGCCGACAAACTCAACACCTCAGGAATTTGCTCTAACTCTTCCCTATCGATATTTCCTATAGTAGGGTGACCCGTGCACTCTACAGAAAGTTGGTCTCGACACGGCTAAATGTGCACGCTTCAGTTGCGTGTCTCGAACTGATTTCTGACTACCCCGCACTCTCTTTGAGTCAAAAAATAGCCATGGCACGTGCAATTCTCTACAAATATATCAACTATTACAGCCGTAAAAAATCTATTGTTGACGATTTTAAATAGCAGTAAAATTTAGCTTTTTGGTTATTACAGCTTTAGAAATTACGTTTGTTTTGTTTTTTAAATTGCTTTATGATTAACTGTACCGTTAAGAGCGGCATCTTTTGGTTTAGTACAAATAATATCTCTGAATCACTTTCGTTAGCAGGAACATGATACTATCAGTAGTTTCATTTTACTTTTACAGGTTTCTTAAAACAATTGTTGAATTGCCTAAAGTGCTTATTTCTAAATTCAATTTCTTGTTCTAGCTTTCTGTTATGTTTCGTAAAAAAGTAGTCTTGATTATCCCGACCTGTCAATCAGACGTAGAATGGTCGATAGACTGGTTAAGCGAGACTAATTTCAAAACAAGGGCACGTAACCTATCTTTTACTCAAAAGTGTCTGGATGTTATGGACGACACTTTGAACCAGTTTTCAGTCTATTATTTATAGATGATTAATGGTCATAGCTTATTAAGTACAACATGGTCGTTTATTTAGTGACTATAATTGTGTGAAACTGATTTGAGGCTTGGCATATATATAAATATTGTGGCGTAATTGTCGAGATATTTGGAGATATTTATTTATGGTGGGTCACCCTACCTATAGCCTGTCGAGCGTCACATATTTTCTCGGCAGCTGCTGGACTGACTTCAGCGTCACACAATTGTTCATATGAACAATTATTTACATTTAATTTACAAGACATAATGTCCCTTTAAATAACTCCCTAATCATTTAAATAGAACCTATTAAATAAAGCTAATAATTACTATAGAATAACTTACTTATTGTCTAGTTATCAACTGTTGACAAAATTATACCACGTGTACTATGTCGGGTATAGACCGGCTATAATATAGTTGCACGTGCAGTCACTGCACACGTGCGTTATGTAAACAAATTTACGAGAAGGTGTTAATGAGTTGTGTTTGGACCTGCGAAACACGCTCACAAACACAACCCTTCACACTTAGATTCACAAAACAATAATAAAATAAACAATCTTTATTTTAACCTAAAACTATAAATAATTTTATTATATTTTCCTCTCCCGTTCATTAACGAAAAAGATTTAGTAATTAATTTTTATCCGGTACTACCATTTGTAGTGTCCGAGGGAATATATATATAAATAATATATACCAAGCTCCCAGCTTGGCGTCTAAGGCGTCCGCATAAACTATAAATCCAAGTCACCTTGTTAGCATCCAAAAGTCAAAGTGTCCACTCGCCGGCGGACCCGTGCTTCTATGGACTAAGACTAGTAATTATTTCCCCTTATTTCATGATGGACCTTTATTTTTTTCTCCCCTCTTCCTGCATTTTTGGGTTGACTTTTTGGTCTAGAATTGGAGAAAAGGGATCAAATTTGCAATTTCATAGCAGTTTTGGGTAATACTGATGATATTACAGCGGAGGGATAGGGGGTGTAATTGTGTCGGAAGTGAGATTTTCACCCCTGTCAACTTCAAATCCGTGTAGCAAAAAATCTAAATGGTCAACCCCCTACAAAATTATGATGAGGAGATTGCCAAATGTTGTCCCCATTGTGCCTATAAAGATTGGAACCAACGGAATGTTGAGCAAAAAGCTACAGCCTGTGATGTTACAGTCATTTAACATTGAAGTCAATGGGCAAATAATTGCTAGTCTGAGACCATATCAGCGGGTAGTCTCCATCAACCAGATGGCTTACCGGAACAGCGGGTAGTCTCCGCCATCCAGGCGGTTTACCGAAACCGGCCAAAATCACTACACACATAATGTTTATAAATGGTTTTTTTTACCGATTCGAATCGTTTTCTGCCATTTTTAAGCGGTGTAGATGATAAATTTCACTTTAATTTTCTTAGCTGTTGAAAAATGCCGCCATGATTTTGAAGCGGAAGGATACCAGAGAATGGTGCTGTTGGAACCAATCTACATGTATAGAAAATCCTACTGTGTGAACCAAGCTGAAAAGCCATTCTGTTGTAATTGCTATTGTGACGAAAAATTCTGATGCGCCGAACATTCATAGCCTAATATAGGGCCTAAGATAAACTACTTTTCAAGGCCAACCCTGTTTTATTTGTCTCTTATCGCCGGGACTCTTTTAGTTTTTAATTGCCTGTTTTATGAAATAATCTTCCATTTAGTATAAAATAGTGTACATCTTTATATTCTTTTAAAAAACAACTTAACACGTTTATTTAAACAGGATTTAACTGACACAGTATGCGACTGATAATATGTCCATAATTTTGCTTGTTGGTTTGTTTTGTTTTGGTTTTTATATATGGTTACATTGCCAGTTTGTAAAGTGCACCTGAACACGGTATATGAAAGGGTGCACTATAAATATGCTGTAATAGTAATAAATATGCTGTAAAAGTAATAAATAATAGTAATAAATATGCTGTTATATTAATAAATATGCTGTAATAGTAATAAATATGCTGTGATAGTAATCTATAGAAAATATTACTGTTGGGACCAACCTATAGAACATCCTGCTGTGAGGGCCAATCTGAACTAATATAAATCAGTACAGAAAAATCCCGCTGGAGATTAATCTGAGCAAAATCCCTGCCGTGAGGGATAACCTAAAAAAATCCTGTGGTTGGGACCAATGAAGAAATTCCTGCTGTGACACGAATCTAAATACAAAATCGTGTCTTGGGGCCAATCGAAATGTTAAAAAAATCCTGCTGCTGTGAGAGCCAATCTACGATATAAATACGGTGTTGGGGGGTGTATAGAATATTTATTTTTTTCGTCACTTTTTTGTGTATATTGGGGGCGGGATTAATGGCGTTATGGGTGACAGATTGTCAAAGTTAGCGATATAAATAAGGCTATATTAGTTTATTTTTCTACTTTAAACCCCTGGCCTGGAATAGCCGGTAAACGGTTTTTAACATTTAAGTAGTAGTCAATGTGGTCTGCCCCCCGGTTGTTCAAATTATTTCCCTTGATATTTCGAAGGTGAAAGCTGACAGCTGTCAATCATTCTGGTCTAGTGGCTATGATGCCTGTCACTTTGTATTGGCTACGAAAGAGTGTTAACCAACAATGAATGGTCTATCTGTTCTTCAAACAAGAAAGAACAAAAATGGCGGCAACTGTGATTTGGTTAACTTGTTTTTTTTTATTTGTTTTCTTGTTGCCAAGATTTGTAAAAAGTGCGAAATTGAATACACCTAAGGTGCTCTTGCCTTATTACAGTACAGTTATATCTAACTTTACTCTAGAAGTTGAATTTTCACCTGAAGAATTGGAGATTCCAAATTGTTACAAATGGTAGGTGACCGGTCATGATTGGTAGACAAGCTAGCTACGTGTAATAATACTATTTACCACATCTCTCAATTTTTTTTCTCGAGATGAAGGAGGGTAGCTCTATAGGCTACTGGTATAATATGTAACAGGCATTGCCTGAGTAGAGCGAAGCTGATTATTGTCAAATATAAAACCTTCATAATTAATTTTCTCAAGTGATACAAAAAATGTTAAATAATTTAGTTTTTCCAAATTGATTTTCATTTAGATCTAAATTGTATACATTAATTTTGTTTTTTAAAAAAGAACAAAAAAGTGTGAGAATTATTTTCATTGACGTCAAAAATATGTGACGTCATTGATTAGACGCGTCATAGAAATAGTTCTATGAGGCGCGTAAGTTGACATGCGCATTGCCAGTTTTGCCCAGTGTATCCGGTTCCGGTCTGAATTTTTTTTTAATCAACAGTCTGTGGGTGACAATTTCAGTTACGCTCCAGTGTTACCGGAAAAGAGCTTTGCTCAAGCACCGCGCTTTGCGCGATGCTGTAGAGCTTCGCTCTATATTAGTTACTTTATTTAGTAACCGATACAATACCTTACTCTGGTATATAGTTCTATATCAGGACTTGGACAAGTAATTAATATTATAATTCGATACAATATACATGAGGCTACTGATCACTAGGGACCGGGTATCGTCCGGGTTTTACGAAAAAAGGAACGAAACTACGCTTATTAAATAAAGTCTTTACTTTCCTCTTATTGATTTATTGATCATCTTAAAGGATGGAATACTTTTCCATAATGACAACATTACAAAATACGTTCAATTACATAAATCACACAAATTTTAAAGTTATTCAAGAATCAGTCAATGTATCAAATTACAAGAATTCTCTCCTCCCCTCCAAGCTTTAAGGTTTGTGAGTCCTGTTGTAAAATAAGTTAACTAAATTTATATGTGGAAAATGGAAAAGGATGTCCACTAAGATCTGAAAGTAGACATGACAGTTATCTCCCTTCCTAAGGGCAAGTTTTTGAGGTTACGTGAAAAACTGATTACTAAAAATTATTTCCAATTACAAGAAATAACACAATGTCACTAAAATGTCTTCCAAATAGTTCTGATTAGATTTTAGAACACGTAATGTCTCTAAATGTTTCTTATCAGTATATTAATAATCAACGCAGCGATTTTAACCATCGGTAAAATTAATTAGACTTGCGACCAGCATGCCTAGGTGGTAACAGTTCTTTTTCTCCTGCGGTGTTGTGTGGTTGCAACCTAGCTAATGCTCGTGGGATCTTTGGCCCTCCAGTGTCCTAGTTCATTAGAGTAGACAGTCGGGGTTGTACCACCTGGACTGGTGGGGTTGTATCGGTCTTGACGGCTGGATCCAGGGTTTGTTGTGGTGGAAGCAAATCAGGTTCCATTGTTGCATCAGGGATGGTAAACTCCATAGGATTAGGTGCTGGTAACAACTTTGGATGTTGTATATGTTCATGGGTTAGAGATGTTGATTTGGGACACTTTAACTCAACTGCTTTCACAGGAAGATCAGCTGGCTTACTGAGAAATGGAGTGAACTTTCTCAAGTACTGTCTGTTACGTAGGGTAACCCTACCCGTTCCATCAACTCTCACCACATATTGGTGAAATTGCCGCACCTCAATCATGACACCTGTGCGCTCCCATCACCTGGGCTGGTTTCCAACAAGATTTTGAATAAATACGTGGTCTCCAATCTGCAGTGGGGGTAATTTATGAGTATGTTCTGTCCACTTTTCATGTTCCCTAGAGTGGCGCTTCGCCAATGCCCTCTCACGATGAAACAGTAACTCCTTCCAAGTCTCATGTGGTTGATAACGGCCCATCAATATCGGAATTGGATCACGATTAGGTCGGCCAAACAGGATCAGTGCTGGTGAAGCCTTCGTTTCTGGATCAATAGTAGTGTTGAAACTACTATTCGGATATCTGTTAACGGATACAAAATAAGGGTTATCCGAATCATTTTACTATCCGTTACAGTCTTCTGACATTCCATGCTATTATTTAGCCATTTTTACATCTGATTACTTTGAAATTTTCCCCAATGCTATTGATCACGTACGCAGCTTTGAGCATAAATGTTAATATCACGCGTATTATTTAGTGATAGTAACTAATAAAAATAATAATGCAGTGCAACGAAAACAGAAGTCTAAATAAAAAAATATTCATTCATTCCTCACGCTGGTTTAAGCTAGATAGAAGCTACTTCTTGGGTTTACGGGATACAAGTTAACACTGTGTTTAGACTTCCCGCAGTGAAATTTATTCATAACGACCTAGGTCACGTATAGGCCTATTCTCACTTGATGATTAGTTCAATAGCAGTAGATTATCAGAATGAGGCAAACGACCTTGGCGGAATAAATGTTAGATGTTTTTATTTTACTTTTTTCATTCGTGTTGATTGAGCAAAAATGATAAGTGGGAGAGCCGCGGATTACGGGAGTAGTTATACACAAATTTATCCACCTCGTTGATTTTTTTGGATATCATGTATAGTCTTAAACATGCATTATGCAAGAGCAAAATCTGCTTATTACAAGTCTTTCTTTAGGCCGGAAATGTTATCTAAATTATCAATTAGACATTAATTAACTTATCCAGACCATAATAAACTCTGGATGTCAAGGCTAGCCTTCGATGTTGGCTGGATTAGATTCCTATATGCCGCTAACGGCTATTGATAATCAAATCAAAAAAAGTGGATAATCGAGACTATGCTGTTTATATTAATGATTTTAGTAATGATGACCGAGACTATGCAAAAATTTCACACGCTTCTTTCTCGGCTCATAGTGGATCAATTTGACTGAAATTTTCAGCAAATTACCTTTACACTATCTAGTTTTTAACTATTATAGCGGGAACTGCCATCTCTCTACCTTATCTACCATAATGTATCTTTAATAATTGCGGCTAAAGGTAGGCACATTTTTATACGCCCACATTTTCATGTGGACGTGTTATGCCGTCGCCCCTGTCCGTCCGTCCACAATTGTTTGTGGACTCTCTACAGGTCACAATTCTTACCCGATTTTGACGAAACTTGAAATATAGGTTTATTCCTAAAAGATCTCGGCTGCTTTCGATATTAGCATGTATCGGATCGAAACTTCATGGATTATGGCCCCTGATTGTACGAAAAATCACGTTTTTAGCTTGTGGACCCTATAGAGGTCACAATTTTTATCCAATTTTGTTGAAACTTGAAATGTAAGTTTATAACCCAAAGATCTCGGTTCCTTTCGATATTTGCGCATATCGGACCGTAACTTCCTGAATTATGGCCCTTGATTGTAGGAAAAATCACTTCTTTTTTTTTTTAGCTTGTTCTCTATCCATCTCTCGAAAATGTGGGTGTATTCTGCCTGGCAGCCGCTTGTTTTCTTCGCGGCTCAAACAATTTGCAAATCGAAAGTAAGATTTCATACTCGGCATACCCAGACACTCATAAACATTGAAGTAAGAAATTATGAGTATATGAACTTTTGATGTGATTTTGTTCAAGAATTTCACGTTTCCGAATTATCCGAATAGTATTTGGATAGCAAACAAAAGTATTCGGATCACAAATCTCGATCCGATTTTCAACACTAATCAATAGAGTTTCTGTAGACAAGTAACGCTCGCTGAAATTTGTCACTTTCTAAAGAGCCTGTCACAGATGTGTTATCTACGAGCATACGTTTAACAGTTTTCACAGCGAGTTCAGCCCTAGAGTTGGCATGTGGGTTCGCGACTGAGCAAAGCCTGTGTCTGACGCCCAAGTTCCTTAGAAACTCTTGTGTCTTACCAGCCGTGAACTGTGGACCACCATCTGTTGTCAACTCCTCGGGAATGCCGAAGGTAACAAATGTCTCTCGAAGATGTTAACTAGTGCCGCTGCACCAGACTCAGATTTGTAAACCATTGGCCAGTTAGAGTATCTGTCCACGATCACAACATAGTCTGTGTTGTTGTAAGTGAAATAGTCAGCACAGATTTGTTGAAACGGGAACTCAGCTGGCTCAATGTCCGATGGGGGCTGCATGGGGTTTGATTTGGCTATTTTGTGGCAGTGTAAACATTGGTCTCTTACTCTGGCAATGTCAACAGTGATATCTGGCCAATATACCGAGTCCAAAGCCCTTGCCTGCATTGCACTGACACCTTGGTGTGCCGCAATTAAGTAAAGATTCCCGAAGTACAGCAGGAATTACGACACGATGACCCACAAGTACCACATCATCCACTACACACATACTGGGCGATAAATGATGGTAGGCTCTCAATTCAGGCGGCAAATCTCTGATATCCTCTGGAAATCTGTGTTCTATGAAATGAACAAGGTTACGAAGAGTCAGGTCAGACACTGTAGCTTCACGAAGCATGTCCCATGTAACCACTGCACATACAGACCAGGGCTGCCGACAACCAGTATCGCAGCGCAATTTGTGATACATATTTTAAATTAAAATCATTAATATGCCTGTCATTTTGGATATTGACACAAAGATTTATCCACATTTCTCAACACTTTCAACGTGTATAAAATATCAAATAAATTTTATAAACAAAACCGAATTCTCCGTGTGACATTTTCTTCTCGAACTACCCAGACTCAATTCATGATACTATATAATACAGGGACATAACTCTATGAATCGGGACTATTAAACCGGAAATAGGGAATCAAGTAGTGCCACTCACGTTGCGAAACATGTCAATTTCGAGTAATTATATCAGTATTCAATTTGAAAAAAAATAAATTCAGTGTATCCGGTAAACTATTATTGTTTATATCCCGTGCGTCTAGTTAATCGAGATTATTCGTAAAATACTGCGTGCTTCCGATTGAACAAAAATAATAACTCACGATAAAAAGCAGACGAAATTGTTTTCTAACGAAGAAATAAGAAGCCACTGCCAAGAATTGGCTTCAGACATAAGGCCTAACAAAAGTCTACATTCATTCAGAAATGTT